TCTCTCTCTCTCTCTCTCTCTCTCTCTCTCTCTCTCTCTCTCTCTCTCTCTGAATTATTAGAATTATTAGAATGACTTAAAGTCTGCAGTCCAGCTAATCCAACAATGGCTGGCTGTGAATGGAAAATTCAGGAATCCAGTAGTTGCTCAATCCATTAGACTGGATGTCTCAACTGGTCTTTAGTATATGCTGGAATCCAGAAGACGTAGGCTCTAATGCCAGTGAAGGAACAGACTTGCTAGCAAGGCCAGAGTAAGCATACAAAGAACAAAAGCTTCCTTCTTCCATGTCCTTACATAGACTTCCAGCAGGCGTAGCACGGATTAGAGGTGGGGTCTCTCAGATCAAATGATCTGCATTGAAGGAGTTGTCTTCCTACCTCAAAGATATGGATTAGAAGTGGCTCTTCCTATTAAAGCAAAAATCGCTCACAACTGTGCCCTCCATTTTTGGGTTTTAGTTAATTCCAGATGTAGTCAAGTTGGCAAGTGTGAATAGCTCTCACAAGCCCACTCTTTGTCAATCTGACAAACAATCAGAGCTCCTTATGTTGTGATTAATTTCCAAAGAAAGAATAGCCAGGTCATAATAGTGCCTAAACATGAGATAAATATCCAATGTACAATCATAAGTGCATTATATATTTACCAGGTCAGGAATATACCTAACTGATGACATAACTATCCCTTGCACAATTACAAACACATTATAAATCTAGAATAGGTGACAATGCCTCTTGAGGAATATTCTTTTACTATCTTAAACTTAAATATGATAACCACTGATACTCTTAATTGATGTTACAGCCCTTGATAAAGTAATTGAGGAAAGAAAACACAAATATCTGTACAAACACATTCTGTATTTTTGTTTGTTTGTTTGTTTTTGTTTTGTTTTTTTTTTCTGTTTTTCAAGACAGGGTTTCTCTGTGTAGCTTTGGAGCCTGTCCTGGAACTTGCTCTTGTAGACCAGGCTGGCCTCAAACTCACAGAGATCTGCCTGCCTCCACCTCCCGAGTGCTGGGATTAAAGGTGTGCGCCACCACTGCCCGAGTCACATTCTTTTTTATTTTAATTTTTTTGTACATTTTATATACCAACCACAGTTTCCTCTCCATCCCTTCCTTTCCCACTCCCCCCACCCCACCCCCATTCCTCCTCAGAAAGTGTAAGGCCTCCCATAGGGAGTCATCAAAGCCTGACACATGAAGTTGAGACAGGATCAAGCCTCCTGCATCAAGGTTATGCAAGGCTTCTCACCATGGGCTCCAAAAAGCCAGCTCATATACCAGGGATAGATCCTGGTCTCACTGCCAGGGGCCCCACAAACAGACCAAACCACACAACTGTTTACCACATGCAGAGGGCCTAATTCTGTTCCATGAAGGCCCCCCAGCTGTCAGTCCAGAGTCTCTGAACTTCCACGAGCTCAGGTCAGCTGTCTCTGTTGGTTTCCCTGTCATGATCTTGACCCCCCCCCCTTGCTCATATAATTAATTCCTCCTCTCTTTTGACTGGACTCCCAGAGTTCAGCCCAGTGCTTGGCCATGGTCTCTGCATCTGCTTCTATCAGCTATTGGGTGAAGGTTCTACTATCAGCTATTGGGTGAAGTTGTAGATGATTACAACTAGGGTGATCATCAATCTGATTATGGGGAAGGCCAGATGAGGCACCCTCTTCACCATTGCTAGGAGTCTTAGCCAGGGTCATGCGTGTGGATTCCTGCGACTTTCCCTAGCAATAGGTTTCTCCCTAAAGCCATAATGACTCCCTCTATCAAGTTATCTCTTTCATTGCTCTCCCTCTCCATCCCTCCCCCAATTCAACCATTCCATTCCCTCATGTTCTCATCCCCCATCCCCTCCCTTCTTAGCCCCCACAAACACATTCTTTGTTTTAGGCTTTTCAAGACGGGGTTTCTCTGTGTAACAGTCCCTAGATGTCCTGGAACTAACTCTTGTAGACCAGGCTGGCCTTGAACTCACAGAGATCAGCCTGCCTCTGCCTGGGATTAAAGGCATGTGCCACCACCACTTGGCTGTGAGTGGAACTATTTATTTCCTTTTCTACCCCCTGATTCCTGGGCCCATGGATCCTGGCTATAGGAGAAACCATACCAAATATTGGACCCTGATTCAAAGCATATAGTGCCTTCTAGAGAACCTGCCCCAACCCTCCAGGCTGCTGCCACTTAGTTGGTGTTGTAACTGTGTTTTCAAAAGGTCATTACATCTTTCTACCAGGTGGTGGGAAACATGGTAAGACCAGTGGATTCCACGATCATGGGCCAACTGTTGCCCTCCTCTGGCTGTGAAGTAAGTTCCTTAGTCAGAAACAGTACTATGTGGAATACCATGATGGTGGAGAAAGCATTCCGTAAGTTCATAGATGGTAGTTTCATGGCAGAAGCATTACATGCAGGAAAGGCAAATACACAACCAGAATAAGTGTCTACTCCAGTGACAGAGCAACTTAGGTTGCATGGTGACTTGGTGGCCCATTGTCAAGCATTCAGTTTCCACTAAGGACCAATAGGAGGCCAAGAGCTGTCTCTCAAAGGAAGAATAGTTGTCTGCAGATGATGGTAGAGCCTTGCTCCAAAATTCCAAAGGTCTCTTCTGTGATTTACATATAGGGACTCATCAAATGCTCCAGACAACATCTCTATCTGTCACTGACACCTCAAGTTCCATTGGGTCTGCTGGATCATATGGTCCAAGTGGTAGAGCAGCCTGAACAGCCTGGGCCTCTTGAAGAGCCTTCTCCTGTTCCAGGTCCCATACAAAGCTAGCAGCTTTTGGTGTATGGGTCGAATCACCACACCAAATGGGGAATGTGCGGTCTCCAAACTCCAAACAGGTCAACTAAACATTGTGCTTCTGTCTTGGTGGTGAGAGGGTCAGGTGCAACAACTTATCCTTCATCTTGAAAGGAATGTCTCTGTTTGCCCCACACCACTGGACTCCTAAGAATTTCACTACGGTAAAAGGCCCTTGAATTTTGGTTAGATTTATTCCCCACCTTCTGATGTACATATGTGTTACCTATGAGTTCAAATTGGTTGCTAGTTCTTGGTCCAATCAGAATAATGTCGTCAATATAGAGCACCAAAGTAACCACATTTTGTTGAAGAGACAGTCAAGATCCCTCATGACACAGGGCAGGAGAGTTAATATATCCGTGAAGCAAAACTGTAAAGGTATACTTCTGGCCTTACTAGCCGAAAGCACATTGCTTCTGGAGCTCCTTATGGACAGGTACCAGGAAAAAGGCATTTGCTAGATCAATAGCTGCACACCATGTACCAGGAGATGTGTTGATTAGCTCACGTAAAGACACCATATCTGGTACAGCAGCTACAACTGGAGTTACTACCCGGTTGAGTTTTTGACCCATCTGTCTTCTGCACTGGCCAGAAAGGAGAGTTAAAGGGAGATGTGGTGGGAACCACCTCCCCTGCATCTTTCAAGTCCTTGATGGAAGCACAAATTTCTACAGTTCCTCCAGGGATGAGATCCTGTTTTTGACTGACTGTTTTCTTTGGCACAGGAACTCTAAAGGCTTCCATTTAGCTTTTCCAACCACGATAACCCTCACTCCGCAGGGTCAGGGAGCCAATGTGTTCTGCTAACTTCTAAGTATATCTATTCCAATTATATATTCTGAAACCAGGGAAATAACTACAGAATGAGTTTGAGGCCCCACTGGACCTACTGTGAATCAGTCTTCAACCAAAACTCCATTAATCACCTGACCTCCATAAGCCCCTACTTTAACAGGAGCGTCACAAGGTTTCTTGGGGTCTCCCAGAATCAGAGTCAATTCAGAAGCAGTATCCAAAAGACCCCAGAAAGTCTGATTGCTTCCTTTCCCCCAGTGTACAGTTCCCCTTGTAAAAGGCTGTAGGGCCCTCTGGGGAAGAAATGGAGAAAGACTAACAGTAAAACCTTTAGGCATTTTATCAATTCCTACCTTAGAGAACCTGGATGACCCGTCGTTCAAGGGGTCTGCAAGCTAGCAAGTCTGGAAATTGATCCATGGGCTGAGATTGCTTTTTGCTACTATCTTTTGAACCCTTTTTTTCATTTGTTT